TTGATAGATTCAAAATCAGCATTAAAAAAGACCAGAGAATATATATCAAAAACTATGAACATTGCAAATGAAATACACAGGCCTCTGTGTATAGATTCTATACCATGGAAATAAATTTCTACCTACGATAATATAGTGTCTTAGAGATTTTAGAGTTCATCAGCTCCAACACTTTCATTTAATAGAAAGAAAATTCAAGCCCAGAGAAATTTATCAACTCACCCAAAATCACACAGCAAGTAAGCATGCATCAGAACAACCACGCTAGGTACGTGTCTGCTGCATGCTACTCCACCCGTTATCTGTGTTATGTACATTTATGCTTCTACCAAAGTAAACCTTTGCTGAACTATTGGCTATATTACAAGTGTCCTCCTGGGAGACACAGATCTACCTGAGATAAAACGCTCCTAGGTCAGTGGTTCTCAATGCTATCAGACTTCATATGCCCCATTTTATAACAAATATATTATAATGCCCCCATTATAATCCTGAACTAAAATTCATAGTTAATATAACATCCACACAAATAACTTTTAAAGATCAACTCACCCTAATTATAATACAAAGAATAAATTAAAAGACAGTAGTAATTTATGGTATACATATGTGTGCTTTGATATGTTAAACACTTGGAAGCAACTATACTAGATAATATAGTAAAGCAATTAGATGCTTGCCCCTTTAAGAAGAATTGTCATGAACACATAGTTATAAAAATGCAAGGTATTTAATCAGTGACTCAAATGTCATAAAGGATTGCTGCTGATGGTCGACAAGATTTTCCAAAATGGTGCACTAAATCTCAGTAAAATCGCAAACCAAATTACAAACATTGAAATTTTATTATTTTGATTACTCGTGTTGTACACCTTTCTTGCATTCTTGGAAAATTTTGCACATATTAAAACTATGCAGATGTACTTTGTTTTAATATGTAAATTGAGGTAGATTCTAGACTCAGATCATTACCAACAGGATTTTTAGCTCCCTGAATCTCTATCTGGAGGGACATTTAAAGGTCATGCAGTATTCAGGACAGTTCTTCATTGTAGGGATGTCTAATGTCCTTCCTCCGGTCTAATAAATGCCAGTAGTTCTTCTCAGTAACTAGAAACAACAATGTCTCTACAGCTTTCATAATGCCCCAGAGTAGAACCATCATCATAGAATATTGTGTGTAGAATTTCTTCAGCATAGCAGTCAAGTAAACCAATATCAAAACATGAAAAAGTTAGTCCATATGAAAATATATCATTTTAAATGAGTTCTTAATTTTAAACATTATGCATGCCTCAATTTACATTCCTTATACATCTGCAGAGAGGAATTTCATTTTAAAATGATAAGCTTTAGATTGTGTCTTTGCAAACAGGTAACAGAACATAATTTCAAAATCAGAAATCCGAAGCTAACATTAATATGAAATATAGTTTAATTTAAAATGTAATTCATGTTAAATTTAATATTGGTTTAATTATATTTTATAATAACCCAATACTTAAAAACAACATTAAATTTTTTTGCAATAGCAACATGTTTTTCATATGTAGATGTGAGTATTGAGTAAATGATATTTACTCATAATATAGAATTTACAAGAAATTTTATGTCAGTCTAGGGAAACAGTACAACTACTCTTGGAAATGAAAGAGAACACATCATCAAGTATAGCTAGTATAGCTTCTGCTAGTTATCCTACACATTTACATTTTTATTTTGGCCTATCATTTGCTGCAGTCAGTTTCAATGATTATGCACTTTCTTAATTTTTTTTTTTTTTAAAGATTGGCACCTAGGCTAACAACTGTTGCCAATCTTTTTTTTTTTTCCTGCTTTATCTCCTCAAACCCCTCCTGTACACAATTGTATATCTTAGTTGCAGGTCCTTCTAGTTGTGGGATGTGGGACGCCACCTCAACGTGGCCTGACGAGCGGTGCCATGTCCGCGCTCAGGATCCCTGGGCCTCCGCAGCGGAGCGCGTGAACTAAACCACTCGGCCACGGAGCTGGCCCCGCACTTTCTTAATTCTTAACTGACCAGGATGCTGAGAATTCCTCTTCTATGTGACCAGTTTCTATTAGAAGCTTTTAACTCTCTCATTGTATATGTAGTTCTGATACATCATGAACTATAATATATATTATTTATTCATTTTCTTTTCTGGATTGCTTAACTTTCAGTTGCAGCACCCTTCCACAAAAAGAACATAAAGACATCATCTGCCTCTTATTCTCTTCTCGGCTGTACACTTACTGTGTGTGAAAGATCCGCACCGTGTCCAAGAGAGAAATAGGTACAATGGAAGAACAATAGCCCACTTCTATGTCATGATGATTCTATACTGAAATGTACAGAATATCTTTCTCTTTTCAAAATCACTTCATGTCACTTGGCCAGTCCAAGGACTCCAAAACACAATGGAAAATTACAAACTACAAGAGCATTCACAGTACAGCATTATGCTAAAGCTTCAGCAAGCCACTTTCTAACCAAATAAACAATAAAATCACTGTAACTTGGACTAGAAGCAAGGTTATGGAGACATCTTTCATTCCTTACAGTAGCACAAAATAAATTACTCCTTTTCTAAGGTTATTCTGCTAAGAATGTGCCCAATTCTACAAATGAGACTTGTTTCTCTATAAAAATAGTTGCCTTAGCACAAAAATAACCCATTTGTAGTGAGAGAAAGAGTTAAATTTACTAAGTTCTATTGCTAGGGCAGGAGTCGTTTAATAAGAGTTGCATTAATAAGCGTGTGTAGTTTGTTCTTCACCTTGTAGGTGGGTAGCAGGGGATGATTTTGAAAGGTGACAATGGAAAATGACAGAGATAAGAACCTACTCTATTGTTTCCTAACCACAATCACCTCCTTCCCACTCACAACCAAGTTGGCAGGATGAATGCCTAAACTCAAAGTGCTGAGAGGAGAGATCAGAAAGATCATTGAATCTGAGCATCCATGTAAACACAAACAGCTGTTACCAGGTTGATGCGATCCTGGCTTTGACATTAGCGTCATCAGTGGGGATAATATTTCATGCAACTAAACAGCCAGAGAAAACATAGAGATGAGCTCTCAGTGGGCATGGGGCTGGGGGCAGATCCTTTAGAGCAGTGGTTCTTTTTTATGTATGTGCTATTCTTTCAGAGATCTGATGAAAATACAGATTCTGGTTGAGCAAGTCTGTGGCTTAGATTTTGCTTTTCTAACAAGGCCCCAGGTGATGTCAGTGCTCCCATCTGTGGACCACACTACGTGTAGTAATGCTTCAGAGAGCCTTGGAAACAGGCTTTTCTTTAGAATTGGGCAGCTGATGGGGAAATGCAACATAGTGAAGTTAACATGCAAAGAGAAACTCAAGAAGGGAATGCTGATAAACACAGAGAAACAGAAACCTTGTAAGGTTAACATCATACATCAAGAACAAAACACCACCGGTAAAAGAAAAGCCATCCTCCTTCTGCCTAGACAGAAAAATTAAAACCACCCAGAGTTTGATGCAATGCATAAGTGTGCAAATGCAGCGGCACAGAACAAAATGAAAGATGGAAGCAACAGAAGAGCAGTTAAGGCAAAATGCCTTTGTCTTGTTCTTTATAAATCTGACCTAAAAATATTCAGAGGACTATAGATAATACTATCAGAAAAGAAGGTTGAGTCATTTGTGGATAATAAGTGTGGAAGAAAAGCAAACAAAAATATAAACAAAAAACTGCATTTATACTTCAGGTAGTAACAGCCAAAAGCTTTTATCCATCTCTCGAGAGGAATTCCTGCCAGCTTAAAGAGAATTACTTTGATGCTATCTGAAATAGGTTAGTTTTATAGACACCTAAGATGATGCGCTAATAGTCCTGTTGCATTTAACTAAATATTTTAATTTCAAACAATAGCCTTCAAAGTTCTAAGCTTGAGACCCTCCAACCAATGTGAGAAGAGAATGTTCCAACAAGAAGGAACCCACTAGCCAATTTAAAACTTTGCATTTGCCTACTCATCAGTTAAACCAAGGTTTTTGAAGGAGAATTTTTCAAACCAAGACATTGGTTACTCAGACTACAGAAAATGCACCAATTCTGATCAAGATTTTCCTTATAAAAGGATATACTACCAAATAACATATGGTTTAAGAAGACTGAGAGCTTGGGTACCATTGAGCACTACAAAAGTTTTATCACAGTTTTTACTTTAAAGAAAAGTAATGAGCTATGAAATCCCCTGAAGTTTAAGTTCATCTGTTAAAGAATTAAGATATGGTAAAGAAGTATCCATTAGTGGTTAGTTTTAATCCTAGGTCCAGATCTTGTTAAACGCTGTTGTGTAGAAAATATTTGTGAATGAGGCAATAGCATGGATAATGATATATAAATATTTTTTATGATAAACAAACACTAATTTTGTATGTTAGTTCTTATTATCATTTTACTACAGAAGGGCATCTCTTATGTCCTTTGGAGAAAATAATCCTTTGGTTTAAAAAGTATTTGGCTACAATCTGAAATCTATAAAAGCTTTAGTAGCTGATTGGATTCTAATTTGTGATGCATAAAATTATATTGTTCAACACATATACAAAATCCTTGTAACTTTTTTTCTATAGATGATTTTAAATTTTATTCAATAAAGTGACTTTAACTTGAGCAACTTTAGCACATATACATTGACTCACCTATGTAATACTTAGGAAAAACTAAAATAAGTGAGAAAATAATTTTAAAAAAGAACAGGGAGCAGGGAGCTGTCTCTGAAATTGGGATAAACTATTGTCCTAAATCTGGTAGGCCATTCTTTCTCATTAACTCTCACCAGCTCTAGGCAAAATTATAAAATCACTTATCTCCACTGTTAGATCATCCTCTCAGTTTAGCTTTCTTACTTCTTTATTAACGTTTGAAATATATATATATAATTTTATTGAGGTCCCATTGGTTTATGACCTTGTGTAAATTTCAGGTATACGCCACTATATTTCAGCTTCTGTATAGACTGCATGAAAATATGGAACACTTCACAAATTTGTGTGTCATCCTTCTGCAGGGGCCTAGCTAATCTTCAATGTATCTTCCAATTTTAGTATCTGTGCCGTCAAAGCAAGTAGTGGAATATATTTTTGTAAGGCTTTCTAAAGTGCCTCCACCACTTCTTACCTGGGCTAATCCCTTTTTTCTTTTTCCTTTGATCGTTTTTCTCTTCCGTACCCCGCCCCCCCCCCATTTAAACATCATTAATCCCCCTACACACACGTACACACACACTTCTTTTCCATCTACACCTATAATTCCTAGAGCGTATAGAGATCAAGGATAATGGATCTAGTCTTATTTATACTAGTGGCCCCCATGAACTTTGTTCAGTATCAATTGCAGTGAAGAGGATTAAACAGTAGCTAGCTATAGCCCTTTCAACGTTTGTTTTCATTAATTTGTTTTTAGTAGATAAATTGGATTACTGACACTTGCATCGTGATCCTATAAAACCAAGTACTCATAGCTTCAGGAAAAGCTATTAAATACCAGAGACCAGTCCACAAAAATATTGCTATCCTGTGTAAAGTGTCAGAGGTGTAAAAAATGCATACAGATCCACTCCTGCAACTCGGGGTGGATCCGGATCTCCATGGCATTCTACAGACAGTCTATTTACACAGCCAGAATCTTTCACAGTCCATTATGGGTTTCTGGGATGTTAGAGACTATTTTGCAACTTCTCACCCAACATAGCATGTGGGTAAACTGTAGCAAATGCATCTCAAAACATTACATCACAACTGTTTCTAATATCAGTTGTTTATTTAGATATTACCAAAGCTTTAGGTTCTATGATGCTGACTTGAAACACACTGAGTCACCATTAGAGGATGACAGGGCAGGGGAATGGGGAGTAGTGGGTGTGGCCTCTAGGAAAGAATCCTAAGGAAAGGGCTCATATTGTCCATCAGAGATGCTGTCCTTTGATTCTGATACTTCTGGGATGTATTTGCGTTTTTCAGTGAAAATAAATGCAATTTTTTCTCTGCTACATAGGAAGTGGCCAAGATTTGCAGCTAAAATTCGTTATAAGGAAATTCATAGTCTTGATAAGCCTAATAAAGATAAACTATTATCTAACTTTAGTGATGGTACACATTTTTATAATACATCAGTTTCTAAAATAATTTTTTTCTAGTTTGCCTAAAAGGATTATATGAATAAGAAACTTTTCCACATGCTAATTTTACAACTTTGATTCCAGTGACAAATAACTGTCATGTAAAAATCCGCATTAATGGTATACTCTCATAATTGAATTACAAACATTAATATGACAGTTTGTTCATTTTTAAATATATGCAAATAAAAATAATAAGTGAGTATCTCTCTCAAAAGAAAGCCAGCTTCTATTTAGGATTAGAAATGAATATGTTCTGCTATCACAACATCTCCCAGCAGCTCTTTGCATGCTCTTTGATTTTTTCCTCTTCCTGTTCCCCTTATGAATACACTCACCTTATTCAACAATTTCCTCTTTCTCAGTGTACCCGGAATCCATCCACTCTCCTTCATTCTCATTCCAGATCCTACTTGAGGTTCTTTGGACCCCCTCAACCTAGACCACTGCAGTAGTCTCCTAATGACTTTCCAATGGTTTGCCCCCCTTCCAATGTTCTTTAGAGTTAATTTTACCTTATCATTCCCATTCAACAATCCTATCCTTAGGATAAAGCTGATATCTCTTATTGTGGCATTTTAGGACTGACAGAGTCTAGATCTAAAATATTCTTCCAATTTACATTCTAGTATTTTTTCTCTTTGTTCCTGCCATATTCTCTATCCCCTAAATATAACATGGGTATTCACACCGTCATAATTGTGTGCATGTTGTGTGTGCGTGTGTGTGTGTGTGTTCAGAATTCTATCCCCCAATCATCTCTGATCCTTTGCAATCATGAAAGATGAACTCATTCTCCAGTTGATCCATAAAGTCTTATTCATCTCATCTATCTACCGACCTCTCTCTTTTGCACAAAGTCCCATTACATTTACTGCTTCAAGGCTATTTGTTAATTATTTAGTGTCTGGAATTATCACTCACTGTTTTCTATAGGAAGTATTACTGGAGCTAACAAAATTGAAAACTTGGAGACAAAGGGGGGTGTACCTTATTTATCTGCATAAAACCTGGCCATATTATGCATATAATAGCTACTCAATAAATATATATTTGAATGACCATGTAATAATCACAGAGCAAAAGGCTTTGATACAACTATATCAATTTATCAAGAGATGTTTTCCATAAAACTGACTATACTGAGCATATATTTTAATATCAAGTTATATTTTAAAATGTGCTATGAAATATATTTGTCAAACTGACTGGTACTTTGGTAATATGCATAAATGTCTACTGAATTATATATTTTTAAAATTCGGATATTCATGTATAATAATTTTTAACATATCTATAATTTATTTGTAAGATAAATTAGTTGGGGAAAATTTTTCTCTAAATCAAATTAAACTATACACCAAATTTATAATATAAATATTCCAAACATCAAACTATAATAAATAAAAGTCAAAGAGAAAATTTAAACCAGAATATGCAGTAGAAACTAATAATAATTAATAATAGTGTTTATGAATTTAGCATACTCTTTCACTTACAGTATTTTTCACAAATATTCCAAGACAATGTTCTTTATTTCAACAGGCACTTTATATTCTTCATAAAAACATTGACAAATATAACATGGCTCATAAAAATACTACTTTTTTCAAAACAACTTACCTTGTCCTTACTATTTTCAATCTTTGTTACCTTGAATAAGGAATTGTGTAGCACATTAAAAAAAGGTCATCGTATGAACTTAGTTATTAATTAACTCTATTATCTAATTAATATATAGCTGTCATCAGTTTGGAAAATAAAGGATTTTGATGCTGTTCTTTTACTTCTGGCCTCTTATTTCTAAAAGATATGCGTGTCATATCTAAAGATCGGATCAAAGTTAATGTCTGGAAAGAAGTTACTCCCATAGTAACTAATGGGAGCTTAGAATGATTTTAACAATAAGGCTTATCAATTTTTGGCTTAACTTTAACTTATCTTGAATGTAAGTGTAAAGACAGAAATGCTGATTGCATCTGATCCCCACTGTGATGTGCAAGATATAAGAAATTAAATTCATGTAACAATAGCCAACGATGATTTAAACGAAGAGGTGGCAGTGTGAAGTGGTGGAGACACCATGACTAGGAATCAAAGGACCCAGAAACATGTCTTCTCTGACATTCTAGATGGCCTTGGGCAACCTCTGAGACAGGACCTTATATCTGAAATCGAGACTGAGGTGCCAGGGTATAGTAAGTATGAAATTCCAGAGGAAAGGCCTGACTCTATTAAAAATTATCAAGAACTATTTGAGGTTTCATGAAATCCCTCACTTTGAAAGTATGAGGGTATTGAGAGTGGATTTCCAGAGGGTATTTCTTCGGTGAGATGTGCTGTCAAGCTGTGGATTCGATTCTGAATGGACTGGAGTATTTGCCTCTCACTTGTTTTCTAGAAAAAAGTGGCTTCAACCAGACCATTCAGAGATCTTAATAGGAACTTCAGCAGCTTACAACGCAGGAGACTGTGTTGACATATCTCGAGGAATCTCAAGGCAAGCAGCTGTGCTAAATGCCTAAGGTGGCAGGTGAGGGAGAAAATGGAGACCATTTCGGGTAGAAATTTCCTGCCCCTGACAAGCACAGAATGTATGAGTATTTCTCATTCACTGGGCCAAATAGAATTAAGAACTGACTTGAGCCACTTCAAATTCTTCCCGGGAGTACTACTTGGAATTTGGTGTGGAGCAGCTCACGAGACCAGAGCCTGGGGATATGGCGGCTGTTGCTATGATTGGAAGGCCTAGCGAAGGGGACCTCTGAAGAATCTGCAGGAGTTCCCAGCAAGAAAGTCATCTTTAAACAGTAACAAGACTCAGAGAATGGGAAGCAATCTTACATAATACTAGTGTACTTTCTGTGCCTTCTTTCATTTTCTCACACTGTCTTTGGAAGAGCCAGAAACCACTTTGCAAGCTGAGCGAGGAGATGCAGAAAATGAGAGAACATACTGACTGTACCCACTTACCAGATGTCAACAGCCTATCTGAAATCCTCCCCAATGGACAGAATGGAAAAGATTTAATTCTCAATCAAGTCTGGGACTGGGTGTTCTAATACCAAATTGAGACTGTTTTGTGCATTAGAGGGAGGATAGAACTTACCATTACCTAAAAATGACTACAAAGTCATGGTGTCACCTGAATTTTTCTCCAGTAGAAGAAAAAGTTTGCCCTATGGTACATACTTTCAATGGTGAGTGAGAAAGAAAAATAAAGTGAATTTTGATTATATTTGGAGGTGTGCCAGTTCAACATAACAAGTCATGCTATCTAATTTGTCTGCCTCTCTTTCCCCATGTGTAAGATAAGTGTGAAGAAACTGTTTTCAGAATTAAATATTTTATATCACAGAAGTTTGTCTTTTCTGGGAGATGGGAAAGGAGGAAAAGGTGTAAAATCATATTTTATGAAAATAGCTCAACCCTAATAGCAAAACCTGATCAAGATGGCCTGTGTGCACCCAAGGACACAACTAAAAACTGCAAATCAAGCTCTTCTAGTGACAGAGGTAAACATCCCAAGTAAAATAATAGTAAATTGAATTCAGAAGTGTAGTAAAGAATAACAAGCCACAACAAAGTAAATTTTTATTCTATAAGTGCAAAGATAGATCAATAAAAATAGATTTGCTAATATACTTTATCATATTATCATCTCAGATACTATAGAAAAGCATTTCATGAAAGTCAACAAAGATGTCTCATTTTAAAACAAATAAATATTCTGAAATTTAAGTGAAAGGATTTCTCTTTAGAATAATAATGACTAATACTGCAGAGAACTTTATGCCTACTGTTAAGACTGAAAGAACTACTGTGTGTCAGGAAGAGACAAGATTTTGCGTTATCAATTCAACGTTCTACCTTGTTGCGGAAGTTTTAGGTAATGCAATAATAAAATAAATATAACCAGATAGATGCAGAAAAAGTACCATTATTTT